AATGTTTGAAGACTACTCGTTTGTCTTCTCTTCTACATAGCTGCTGTTTTTAGTAAAGAATTGCTGCATGACAAAAGAATTTTTAGTTATTAGTGCCGTCCGTTTTGGTGGCTAGAGAATGTCTTAACATCTTTTATTTATCTCAAGGGCTAAAAATAAACAGTTTTACCTGACCGTAACGTGCTACTGAAAATGCCAAATTTTATTTTGCTCAAATAGGTAAAACCAAGCCAATTTCCATAGACAGAACGGGAGTTTATCGCAAGAGTTTTAGACTAAGATGAACATCAAGTTTACCGCGTACTACCAATGTGCTGGATTGCCTGGCAAACAAGCTCGCTGATCCATTACCTATAAAATGTCAAGCCTTGGAAAGCCATTTATTTAACTTAAAACGCAGGCACACAGAGGATTAACCAATAGAAATTACCCTCAGCTGAGTAGACAATTATGCTTATCGTGTGCGGTTCATTAATTTTTATTCCACGTCGATTACCTGCTATCCAGCCCTCCTGAAGTCTGTCGGGCTACTAGTAAGTATCAACCTGACAACAGACAAACAGTTCACACATATATACCTTGCTACACTCGTACTATCTCTTGTGAATATACACATGCACCCCTCTTCAGACGTAACCGGACACCTTTCTGTAGTGCGTTAATAACTCGTCCCTTCTGGCCTTCGCATTATTCTCTTACATCGTACATATCCGCAATGTGTTAAACACTCAGAGAAATCTTGTCCTAAATGACGTTGAACAGCCATCTTACGATCTCGGTCAACTTTACTGTTCGTGTTACCTGAAAACAAAAAGAAGACAGGTTCTGACAGACTGTGGTTTATATTGTAATTAGGTCGGTTGAGTCAGGCGGCGTGGATGTTTGTGCGTGTTTGATAGACTTTTAGGGCTAGTGTGACGTTAGCAAGGTCTATCCAGGTAATGCGCATGCATGCTCATTAGAAGTTTTTCGGAGGTGCAACAGCATGGATTCAAGGAATCTTTTATACTAGCATTAAAAATAACGCTCTTGTTTCCTGTAGGATAGGTAGTTGAAATACACTTGCGCAGTCGGCCTCTTGGATTTCTTGTGGTTCTTCAAATTTCGCCATAACAAAACATGGATCAGTAAAATACGGAGACAAGTTTCCAATTATTAGCAGTTATCGGAAAAGAATGATTTGGTATAAGAGACAGTTATAAGAGTCAGTTGAGCCAATTGCATAGAGTCACTAAGTGACCATTTGTAATTTTTTGGAAGATGGGCCTTAGGGGGAATTAAACGCGATTTCAAAAGGGTGCTGTTCCTGTTCAATAAAGTTCATTCGAAGGATGTGATTGACAAAAGTGAACAACATCATGGTCCAACCTACACTGTACTTACTAAAGTAGATACCACTTAAGTAGAAGCAACAATAAATTAGCAAGTGGCTTTGCCCCAGTTGCGTTAAAGTATGGCTTAAGTAAATGACAACTTACAGTAACAAATTTTTGTGTGCTTAAACGCAGATTAAAGTTCGATATATCTCAAGACATCTTGTCGGCCTCAGATGCTAAGCGTTTTTAAACGTAATATTTGGAACTAGCTAAATAAATGTCATAAAATTAAGGCAACAAGTGTGGTTAAGTAATTACTAGTCTGGGAATTCAAGGGCGAAAAGTGGATTACGCTTAGGAAAGCTGGTCATAAACAAAGCAATGTGAGAATCCAGACATGCCACTGCTATTTTTGTCTCTTCAATGCACTCAAAATTTGGTCGCGGATGTTGGTGAGTCGTAATTGAAAGCAGGGAATCTTTCTGGACTGAATATTTTGGCTTCTCTGAAGAAAAATCTGCTACGATTTATGAATGTTGGTTTAAAGTCAAGTGATACACACGGACTGAAAGCGATTCGGTTAATTTGATTATTTTTGGCGATAAAGCAGTTCTTCAGTGGCACTAGGTTTGCCGAGTACTAATTACTCTCATGTGTTTTGGAAATGGATAAACGGCGAATCTTATTTCAAATCTTGTATCCAGTCGACAAATTCATCGTGATTTGGTGATGGTAATTAATATTACCTGCATAGCATTTCAGCAAAATGGAGTCGCTTGGGAAGTAGATGGCGGGTTCAGAATGAAACACCTATGATCCTCGGCACTCGGGGCTGCGGATAGGGCAAATTTGTATAATCTCAGGTCAAAATTGGTTATGAGGAGATGGCGATGAATTGAACGACGAAAAAAATAGGGAAAATATTGACTAGGAGTTGTGTTCTGACATGACAGCACTGATTGCACTGATGAGAAAAAAAACTTGCAAAATGCGATTTTTTTGCAAATCAGCTTTAAATTATCATGCTTCTAAAATTCACTTAGTTCCAATTTTTTTTTTTCAATTTCGTTTTAAAAATTAGGTCAGACCTATAATTGCGTGCGCGTTTGATCCATTTCAACAGTTCTGGTTTGGGACTGTGGATTAAAGTGGGCTCTTATGTATGTAAATTGTTACCATACCAAACTCACATAAGTGCCTATTTGCAATGTATATGGTGGTTTAATTTCATGACAACCACGCTTGCTGTTTCCTCGATTCGAGCAAATAAAATAATTTATTTTTCAGTGTCCCAGTGTGAACCCAGGCAAAAGATAAGGACAGGACGGCTGGACTCAAATATGTAACGAGGCGTTCGGGTGGTGAATATGTGAAGCATCTTTTCATGAAGGAGAAAAATAACAGAAATTAATTATTTCTGAAGCATTATTAGGTATTCTCAAAAAAATCGCACCACATTAAGGAGAAATTCAAAATGAAATATGACTTGCTTCGTTAGTTCCAATAGCACTTCCAGAATTTCCTTATTCAATGATAGCTTTTCGCTGTAGTAAAGAGGCATGAGAAAGAGTGATTGCCCTTAATAAACAAACCATGCAAGCTTCATACGTGGTTAACGAAATGATAACGATGTGCTGGTGTCAGAGTTATTTTGTCTGATTATGAAAATGATATCATGATTTAAAAAAATAAATTCCATTAGACAAAAGATTACATAATAATGTGTCTAAAATTACCTTTTTAATGCCCACGAGCAGCTTACACACGAATATTATCAGTAAAACATTTCAACTGTCTAGATTTATGCTTTCTGTTTGCAAGTTCCCATGAATGCTTCAGCATTTAAATACCTTTTTTCATTCAATGAATTTAGTGTTTTCGAAATTTCCCTCATTATCTAGGCACATCTTCTTTTTGTAAAATATGGGTTTTCCTTTTTTTGCATGAATCAACGTATCGCGTCCTGTTGTATTTGACTAGCATTGAGTCATTTTGAAGTTCTTGTGATCTTTTCTAGGTCACGTTTTAATTTCCTAGGGTACCTTGTCAAAATGTTCCAATGTGCAGCGAACACTCAACTTGCCTTGCAAAACTTTGAGCACTGATAATTTTTAATCTTGAATTGAGTAATAGTGTTAGTGATTAGAAATTCGTAGTTCATAATAGCGTAAAGACACTCTTGTAATAAATGGAATGGAGTTTAAAGAAACGGTATTTGATACGTGCATCTGTATCATGTATCATGTACCAACCCCCATACAGATCAATTTTACGAGTGTTGTCAGAGAGGGATTCACTGCCCTGCCGATAAAATTTTGTTAATCTTACTAAGTAGCCAAAATTTTGGTTCTAAGACAGTATGCTCAATGAAAGCAGACTTTAGCTTCCTAAATGAAACCTAACACCATCCGAATCCTAAGGTAAAATTTAAAAAAATATATTAAGCGACAATTTAGTTGACTAAACAGTGTACAATTTATAGATCTTATTCAGATAGGGATGTATTCTTGGTGTTTTATCATAGGAGATATGAAACCCTTTGTCCATATTACGATTTAGCACAGATTAAGTGTGCTATAATTCAGATTAAATAACTTACGATTCCTAAACAAATTCCATGTCGCGGCGATTGTCTTAATACTCTGCGCTACATCCATTGTTTTTAACGAAAACAAACTTGAGTCGCAAGCTAAGAAACCTTCCGGCTGTTAATTTGACATTCTAAAAACAATGTCTTAGACCTTTAAGTAACGCTGCAATCATTTGACATCGCGACAGCAACTGGTGTCCCCGAGTAAGTGAAAGGCAAAGTTTCGAATTTGCAGGGTAATTCAAATTGATCTACCTTAACTTTGGTAGACTGCTTTTGCCTTTAATGATTCTAATTTAATTCTATATTAAATTGGTTCATAATTATCACATTTGGCAACAACATTAATACGATTCTGGTCTGTAACTGTTTCAGTGGGTGCACAAAAAGTATCGCGTTTTTCTGAAAAATAAGTAAAGTGATCTGACAACATTTTCGACAAATAAGGTTTCTCAAAAATTTAAATGGTGTCGAAGATGTTCGAACATTAAGGTGTCGCAAGTCCTTTTTTATGCTGTTCAATTGTTTAGTAGCTTTAAGCTGAAGGAATATTAGACAATTGATTTCCTTAACAATCGACATTGTACCTACAGATCTTAGTGTTTTAATGCCACTTTTTCAGCATCCATGACCACTGAAAAATACGCGCAATGATGCTGTCACGAACGTAACTGTGCTCATGAAATTCGCCCATATTTTAGTGTCGTTAGGTTTTCACACAGAAAACATGCTGTAAACAGTGTGTGGTAAGCACATTTTTCTAAAATAGCGGTAAGCCACTCGGCAAAAACTAGAGATAGTGTTGATAAAAAAATTCAGGCTGTAAAACCACATTTGCGATGTACAAACTAACATGAAGCTAAATGAGAAGCAAGGAACAGATAATTCACTTGGAATTGTTTGGAGTTGTTCATTTCTTGTTTTACTTTCCTTCCCTTGGGATGCCTGTGTGTAGTTTGTCGACAAAAGTTGTGTGAACCCCCGCTGCATCTTGTATCAAATGGGCAAAAATACCTTCCATGCCATGACTACCTGACTCCACTCTTTTGTAATCCTCTCAGCTGTGGAATCATGGTGGTCTCCACACCTACTTTTCAGTCAGGTACGGTTGCACCCAGTCTCGAGGGACCTACATTTGCCATTCCTGAACACCTTGAATTGCCCTATGATGCAGCAAGCAACAGCATCAAGTCTCATTTTGACCAGCCACAAAGCAATCGTTAACTTCGGCACCCATTCACTTTATACAACAACTGATATTGAAATTGCTCAAAGGGAGATTTTAATAAATAACGTAATAAAAAACTTGCTAAACGCCTTCAAAAATTGTCCTTAGAGGAAAGGTGACATTGTGTATTATCTTACACACATGGCCACAAACATATACAAAATAACAAATTCTCTTTGTGTTCGGGTTAGTTTAAAATTCGTCCGTCGATCTGTTTTTTATCCTGCCCTCTGGCTGGTTTTTGTTCTTCCACTTTACACAGCAACAGCAAAGTACCCGTGTGAAACCGATTCTGTAGGTCTGGTTCATCCAGGCGTAAATGAAGGGATTGTAACAAGATGCCGAACTGCTGAGAAGCACAACAAACATCCAGGCGATGGCCAGATCCTTACTTGCCCAATTCACCACGGTTCCGTAGAGGTAGATGACATGTCTTGGAAGTTGAGAAACGGCGTACAGGGCTGACACGGCAATCATCATTTTCACCATCTTCAATGAACAAAAATGAAGCATTTAACGTTTTTTTTTCAAAAGCAGTGCTGGTGCATCCATGTCTATTCTATAAATATAGAAGTTATAGAGCACTTGTGAAAAATAAAATAACTTTTTCCACTTGTTTTATTTATTCCATGAAACATTTAATGGCATCATTGCTAAAAGAAGCTTAAAGCAAATAAAGTTGATGATGGATACGTGAAGTATTTTTTTCTTAGCTATCGTCATAATTTTCGATTGTTAAAAACTAAATCAGACAAGTTTCAGAAACTTTAAAAGGTCTCAAAGTAGAAAGTACTGATCAGTTGTTCAGACAACGTTTTTTTGTATTTAAGTAAGCCAGTAATAGTACTATTACCACTTGATACATTTTACATAAAATAAAATAGAAATAGTTCAGACACATATCCCGAAACTCTACTTTTTAGAGCCAGGAATATGGTCGGCGCCTAATTCGATACAGTTTTGTAGGGAAAGTACTCTTCGAAAACGTGACCACGAGATGTTCATTAATAAACCATTCCAGGAGTCTTAACCGTGAGGCCTCACTTTACTTCATATCTCGTTGTTAACGTTTAGATGTTACCTTTAACATGCAGCTGATTACGAAAAACAAGGGATACCTTGAGGAGGAAAACTAGACGCAATTTAATAAGATTAAAAATTTCAATCTTTAACGTCTAGCACGTCGATTTGTCAAATCAAGCACAGGACCGAAAAGTGCTCTCATTTGCATTTAACACGGAATGATTACCTAACCCAAGTGTTCTTTGGCACGATAACTTATAAGCACTTTTTTTCTGGTGGGGAGGTGGCGTTTTTAGCAAGGAAAAATAAAAGGATTGACATCAATAGTTAACCCTGCGGTCAAGGTACCGCGGTACACTAGACCCAGGACTTGGGGAATCGCGTTCTGTTTGCTGTTCAGCTGCCAATTTGTACGTCAGTAGCAACATGGAACAGTTAAAAACGTATTATTAGGAGTTGATTTCGTCTGTTGCGTCCCAAAATTGGTATCTAGTCTTAATCTGGGTAGGCAATGTTGCGAAATAATGACCGACAACAGCCGGTGAGGTGGCGAAGTAGAAAAAGGCACCGCCTCTATTCACTCACAAGGGCAGCGAATCGCACAGCAAACTGGGATACTGTTTTTGCCATAATTCTAATCTTCTGGTTAATGCCAGTTTTGTTTATCGATGCAGTAACTGTCTTCCTCAATAGAAAAAGGCGTGGAAATTAATGCAAAAGTCAACCCAATGCATTGGAATTTAGCTGAGGACTTGATACTGTTTCCTAATTATATGAGATGCACCGGCCTTTCACCATGAGTTTAATTGTGTACACAATTGTGCTTAAACAAGAGGCCGAAGTGAAGCGTTGTTATGAGGAGACGGAAAAGTGAAAAGAGTTTTTTGTGGGCCGAAAAAGCGGTGTTTCAAAATTAATCAATGTTTATCCCTTCTCAATGCATGTTTGTGATGAAATGGGAAGCTCAAGTGCAACTCAAATGTCCTTCATTGGGATTTTAAGGCGGTGTTATCGTCGGCAGACAAACACCACAGAGCTGTATCAACTGTTATGACGGCGAACATGGTGAATACGCTTCATCCAATCAAGCTTATGGTTTGGAAGAGCACTAGTAAGCAATTATAGCTCACGAAATTATTAAATCTACGGCATTTACTTTACTCGTGTGCTACATGAAGATTCTACGCTGTGATTGACAGTGCGCCTAAACCGCAGTTGCTGTTCTAATTGAGTAAGCCTGAAAATATCAAAGCTAGTTTGAATGGGCCATAAAGGTACAGCGATGGTTTGGTTGGCATGCTGAGGTGAAACCGACCGCCATCAGGGAGAATGATCGTGCCACATTGGAAAAGTGCCTCGTGTGGGTGGATCAGAATGTATCTCACCAACTCGCCTTTGGAGGTTGCAGTGGTACTGCTGGTGATGGCAATGATGACGATTATGATGATTGCGCAAAAAGCCTCGACAACAGCTAAGAGACTTGCTAAAATTATAGATAGCGTGTTATGAGATGTTAGTGTTCGCACATCTCAGGTGGAACATTCGAATACGGAGTGAGTGGAGGGTGTGAGGAAGTCTGCCTTGGTGTTGAACTAACCAATGTGTTGTCAGGAGTAGGGATAACCGCATAGACTCAAGCACTGTCTTTAATACCCCCTACCGTTTTTTCAGGGCGGAAAATTGCCAGCAGAAAGCCTCAACCTCAGTCTATCGAAGTGAAACCTTTAAAAAATGCCTCCAAGTAACTAACATGATTCTCCACCCTGGTAAATGGATCTGCAACACCTCTGCCACAGATCTGGTTAAATGGCTTAGGATGTGAACTTTTACGATTGAAGACAATGTATGTTCAAATTCTATTCTAAGAGTTGATACTTGTTGTGTGTGAAATCAGAAAATTAAGTGTCTGAAGGCAAAAATAAGAAGTTATAACTGGACCTTGAATACAGTCATATATATAATCACTCAAAATTTAGAGATGGTACGTGAGACCTTGACGAATCTACTGTCATCGGCCGACCTATAAGCACCCCATATGACCAAGATCTAACTCTCAGCAACACGGAGATATAAATCATACTGAGGTTGTGGTCACCTAGTTCACTTAAAGACACCCAAATTGCACTGTTACATTGTAGTCTGTGTGTTAGAGATAAAGTGTCACTTGTGTTCTAATTCGTTCAATCCACCTTCTCCAAATGCTCTTCTACTACTACCTATTAAGCTGTTTCGGTTGAAACAGAAAATTATTCCTGCTGTAGCCTCCAGTAACATGACATGCAAACTATACCTTACTGCTACACAAAACAACTTCTGGAGAACGATTTAACATGCCGGCCGAGTTATAACCAGCAAAGTGAAAAAATGTTATTCGAATGAATCATTTTCGGAAAGCAAAAAAAAGTGCGACAAAGTGAATATAGATGTATACTTACATGTTAGCATGTGAACGTTTATATTTCACCTTTTCGTTCACAATTTTCGATGGTATTTAAAATTAGTAGACAAAGAACGCAAAAGAATCTTAAGTTTTTCTACGCGCCAGAACAAACTGTGAAAATTTTTGTGTGAAATCTGGAAATGTCATAGTTCGTTCAATGGAGTTCAAGTTGGGTACATTATATATGGAAGTCATTCTAATTTTACTAAATTCAGTCAACTGTACACGGGTGAAAGAAGATAAACTAACTAATGGCATAAAAAAAGGCCTTACTTTATTCCGAAATATGCATCTGCTAATTTTTGTGTCATTGAAACCACTGGCAATTTGTGAATTGCCTAATTACACCTCAGGAAATATGAAACGTCTAATTCAATAATATATGAGTATCATGTAGGAAACTATAACATTAATCAACCTATCTTTACTGGCTTACTTTTGGCTCTCATGTGATGGGTTTTGGAAACTGTAATAATCAGTTAACAGGTAAATGGTAACATCATTCCTTCGAAATGATGGTTGGTCGCATTTCAGGGTTTTTTTGACAGATGGCCTCTACCTAACGGCATCAAAACAAAGTTTTGCACATCAACGGAGTTCAAATGATGTGTTGCGGCAGCAGCTTAATGGCTGTCGCTAAAATTAATGGGTAAACAAATTCCATAGGTACTCAATCTGCTATACGTCTTTGGGGAACTCCTACTTTAGACCTTGACACACCATTTAACCGTAATAGGCCTTATTTACAGTAATCGTTCGAAACATTTGCGTCAAGTATTGATTTCAGATGGAAAAATTAAATCTTAAATAAGATTGATTGCCTTGATTGGTTTGATGTCGTCTACACCCAAACGAATGAGCCTTAAATCGCTTCAAATCAGACCAATCGAAGTGATAGCCTTAGTCGATAAAGCCATTTCAAGTGCATGGCTTGAAATTATCTTCATTAAAGTAACTCCGTGGGATTCTTCAACTTAACAGAGAATAATGCGGTCACATTTGCTACTTTTTGCTCACTATCTAACTTGATCAGGATCCAATTCGAACATATCTGTGGTACGCCATAAGTAAAATGTTTCGGCAGGTATAGGTACGGTATTCTGATTGTTGCAGTATTCAAGACGGCATCTGGGATCATGATTTCAGCCAATATCACTCCCACATTCATTAATCATGCCAAAGCAGGTTAGCTGCAATTCTTTGCTTACATAGGCTGAATGCGACATGAATGTTTCATTAACTGAAAAGCTTGAATAAAATATTAAGAGAGTCAGTCGAATTTTGAACTGTCGTAATTCCATAGTACGTCATGGTTTCATTAATACTGAGATTTATACAAAGCCAGGGGCAAATGTGTATGTTATTTGACAAATCAGGTGTTTTTATGATCAGACTAAAAGGTGCTAAGTCGTGAGATTTCTCCGCCATCATTCTGGCGCACGCAAACATTCCACAAGAAACAAATACCTTTTTTTTAAATGCCAAAATTGTTGACGGAACTCGCTAGTGTCATTTCACCTGACAAAATGCCATCTGTTGAATCAATTAACAAAGACCTTTTAATGTAACGTTCGCCTCTGTAACATATGGAACAGTTAAGCGCGTATTAATGATCCCTCGACTCCGCTTTACTCATTATGGGTAAGCTTCGTTAATCAAATCTACCTCAAAGTACGGATTTCAAAAACGCGAAGAGATGAGTTTGTGTGCAAAGTGAAAGTCGGGCTATGTTAAACAAGGCCAAATGCAACAACAATCAGAAGTGAATTTATACTGCTCAAGATAATTTTAACTGCTGAGAGAATCAGTTTCGTAATCCTTTAATGCATTTCCATTTGATTCCAAGCTTTAGGGAATTAAAACTTCTGCTTTACAATAGCGACTCATGTGGGCAACTGGAGGTAGCGTTGGTAGAAGCACCGTTGAAATTCCAATGACAGTTATTTGATAGTTCGGAAAGAAGTGCAGCAACTCGGATAAAAAGTAATCAAGCCAAGTTTTATTTGTGTTCTTTCGTATCTTGGTAAACCACACACTTTGATGGCATGTATCACTTTCAAATTAGTGCTTAAAGACTAATTTGATCCTATTACAAGCGTTCAAATCTTAATTATAATATTCAAGTGTTAGATTGGCTAAAATTACATAACCCTTATGTTACAAAAAGACATTTTAGAAGACTACTAGCAACTCAGAATAAACATTTCCATGGACACCTCTTATGCGCGGTACATGATAATTTCAGATAATCATACACATATATTAAATCATTTATCTAAGCATCAGTAAAATTCTCGATTTCGTGTGTACGGTTTTAGGTTAGCAACTAAAAATGGGTTACTGAATGACCTGGCCTGTTAAACCAGCCATGAGTAGACGTGGAGGTAGTCTGTGCTGCTCACTCATACAATCGAATAGCACAGTAAATAGATTCCTTATATCTCATTTGATCTTTATAATAACTACATCTTCTTTATATTTCGCTAACTTCACTTTGGTGAGTCTTTTGGAGCAAATTACCACTTCGGCTGACCAAAACCTGAGATTTAACTTGCATATCTGCGACGTTAAACCATTATCTGCCTATTTGATTTGATTAAAACACAAAATATGACTGCCACTGGAATGTGACCAGTAAAATGCTAAAAATCATCAGTATTATAAAGCATTAAGTTGTGCACTTCAGTATGTGTGGTTAGGAAACTGGGTATCTGTGCACTGATCACTGCATTTATTAGCCAACCACGAAATAATGAGGCCAACTTAAACCCCCTTAATGATGTATAACTATTTACTGATGCAGTGCTTTGGTTAAGTTCAGCCTTATTTTTAAAATAAATTAATTTCTACTGCAAAATCAGCGTTGGCAAACGTGATGCATTTTAAGGTCACTTGCGAACGAAATTTTACTGGTCACCAAACTGGCGAAATCATCAGGAAAACATCGATTAAGCAAGCATTAAGCGTCACTTCTTGTCTCTTATTTAGAGGAACTATGGAATGATTCCCGCAGATATGATGGTTAGGTTTAGGGGGGGAGACAAAAAATTAAATAGTTAAATGGGGTTTTATAAATTGGGGTCTAATTCAGAGCTACACAGTCATCACAATAAAGCTTAAATGGCTGTAACACTTGATACTGAAAAAAAAGAAACGATGGTAGTAACTGGAGGTGCTTGTAAATAATGGATCGCTGGAATTAAAGTAAAGGAGCTGTGGACTGGAGACACTTTCACTCTAATTATAGTTACTCAATCAGAAAAAAATTACAGGCGCAATGGTCTACTCACCTTTCGTTTTGATCTAACCGTCATTCGAGATCTACTTGCTGAGACCGGGCCTCGACCTTGCGTCGAGTTAAGCTTCCAACAAATTACCGAGTATGAGCAAATAAGAAGAGTCAGCGGAATGAAATACTGCATCACCATGAGAGTTGTGGTGTAGGCTTGACTCCTATGGGCATCCCACGACTCTGCACATCGTGCGTTAGGACCCTCTGGCAGATATCCGACAACAGCCAGTGGTGTGGCTTGAATGCACGCGGTGACCCACAGCAGAATGATAAGGAATCTCGCCCTCCTGGGCGTCAGTAGTCGTCGTCTTTGAAGGGGCCGAAAGACAATGAGGAATCGGTCGCAGGAAATTAGGACGTGAGTGAAAGCTGTGAGGGTCACTGTAATGCACTGGATGAAGGGAACAAGCTTGCACATCGCCGCCCCGAATGGCCAGTGGTTAAGCCATATATCTGCTATTGCGGTCATTGGAATTACAGCGAGTGTTGTAAGAATATCCGTAATGCTGAGGTTGAAGAGGAATATGTTTGTGACGGAATTTTGCAAGTAACGCTGAATAACGTAGCAGACGAGGGAATTACCTATCAGCGAGATTATCATCAAGGGGATGTATGGAAAACTCATGCCGAGCTTCGTTCCCAGGTCAAATATTTCCACGGTTTCTGTGTGAGTGGCATTTAGGGTTTTGAATTCACCTGGTGCCAACGATGTATTATGCATAATTACACATATATTGTAATGAATCGGGCTGATAAAAAGGGTGGACGTCTAGTCTATAATTTCGCGCTACATTCCATCGCTGCATGCCCAGTAAAACTCTATTTATGTCAGCCAGCCAATCAGATGATCGAGGTTGATTCTGGCCAACCAACCGAAATCGCAAACAAGTTAAAACAGGTCATCCCGTGTTGTATTAAAGAAACATTAAGTTAGGTAAAAACTATGCAGACAAAAGAGAATAATAATAAAAAACCAATGCGTACCCCTCACGAAAGTCTACTTTAGTCATCGAAAGGGCAAGCAAACATCTTTTGGAGTTCTAAGGGAACATCTCTAGAACTCCATAGACTTGATTTGTGACATCCAAAAACTACTCTGACCCTTTTCACTTACTATTCAAGGTTTACTTAAGCGAAGTTTTTGAATAGTTTTATACTTACGATTGCAACTCCTCTGTCTATAGGTCGGTAATTCAATTGTAATCAAATTTGTATAGGCGTCCTACGAGCACCAACCCTGACCACCCCTCTTTTTTATTACTATACTCACCTACGTTAAAGTGAATGAAATGCTATAGCTTTGCATTGCAAATGTGAGCTTAGCCGTTAAGAAACACTTCCGAATATTCAGATGTAGGTCTAATTTAACTTGATTAAATTTGATTAAGGCAGTGTGACATATCGAGGAATTTACGGAAAGCTGTAATCCTTTTTCCCATCGATAGAATGACTCTCATGAAATGCCGCAATTTTGTTTTTTTGCCGAGGCAACGCATAGTGTCAATAACTAATTAAATGACAATTAGTTTCAGTGTGAATTTCTCTATTCAGCTCGGCCTAAACTTGTGTGTTATCATGATAACAAAGCAGGCAAATTTTGCTATAAGTACCAGCATGGCTGCTAGTTTTACATTGGGGTACGTGTGAGCAAACATTGTACGACTTTTGTTTACTGGAGGTTAGGTGGAGTATAATTTTTGATGGGAGTTTGGCATCGTAGCATGCAAGGTGCACGTAAATGAGTAAATTATCTAAGCTCGGATGCGTAATTCACACTTTTAATAGATGTCCATGCCGGTAAGCAGGAACGCGCAATAAAAAAACTTGACTCTAGACACTTGTTTGAACCTTCATCACGCGATAGTGATTGCACTGTGGCACTAGCTCAACTTCTGACTGGTTGAATCTTGTCCAAGCTAATTATACCAAGTGTAAGGAATTTTAACAGGAAAGAGCAAATAGAAGGTAAATTAACATTCCAGGAACTAACATATGTTATTAACATTGAATATGTCGATGCTTGAAATAAACATTCTGTCATGCATCAACTGTGCTTACACGGTATTTTCCAGTCTCCGAACATGCATTAAAGGCAACCAATTAAATGACAGAAATGCATAATTACAAGATTGAGCTTGTCTGTTGTTATCTAGGAAGTGAAATTGGTAATGCCAGCATGAAGCCGGTACTTGTTAAGCATTCTTTTCACATTTTTAGGCGTCTAAGACAATTAGCCTGCTGCCAAATAGTCGCACAATGCTCTGAATAGGGAGGCTGTGTACACTTGTTATGTGCCACAGAGGGACAATTGTGACTTTATAGCAACTTTATCATTAAAATATACTTTTGAAAAGCCCATTTGAGAAAACTGTTCAATTAAATATGCTCTATGCATTTCATACAGTAATCATTACATAAATACCCAGTCAAACAGCTGGAAACAGTAATTTAATTCTAAGTTTCGGCGAAGTATGGGGTTTTGATGTCGTAAGTGTAGCCATTTTTCACGTGATTTCCAACTGTTTCCGTCGCTGAGGTCAAATTAGTAAAATCATGGGTCGCAAATCCAGCCATGGCAAAAGGAGATGCAACCCTCAAAGTGGCACTGGTAACTTGACTTATTGGTCAAAACAATTTCATTTAACAGGGTCTATTAACGAAGCGTAAACGGTAAAATGCCAACTTAAATCCTGACCACGTTTGTTAGAATAGAAGTCTAGAGGGTTAATAAGACCATAAGCGTTTGCTGGTAGCTTGCATCTGTAACAGACATAAATGATATCTTAGCTTTTAATCGACAAATCGTGATATGACAAGGATGAAGAGCGTTCGGAATGGAGCAGTTCTGTCTGTCTTGAATGCATTTCGAATATGCTCATGCCGTCAATATAACGAAGGGTCATTGGTCAACTTCAGTGGTGAACCGATGTTCTCACGTAGTGATCCTTATTAGGATGGGTACTCGGGAAAATACATAAAGCAGAATTGTTATTTACAAAATTTTAAGAAAATAAAAGGTACTTAAAAGAGTCCCATGCTGATGACAAACAACTCAGTTTAGACGGATTCATGAGTTTGGTCATGTAAGGAACAAATAAGCAATTTTAACACCCACATGCACAGTAGTGTTACAACATGGAAATTGACGTCATTTTTTGTGGACTTCCTGTTTCACGCTGCAAGGACTGCTGCCTGTACCTATTTTTGTACTTTTACAATGATTAACTGGTAACCCAGGTTAGTAATTAACTTCATCTTACATGAAATTCAACCCAAGCTGAAATTTAGCTGTAAAACTATGCTGTTTGCACTTATTCTTGGGTACAGATCCTTGATGTCTAAATAAGTAATCATTGTGCAGGACATTGGTTTACATTAAATGCCAAGACAGGCGGATTTATATTCAAATTTCTTTCTCTGGCTGGTGAGATAAAAAATTGTTCAAGAATCAAGGACAGGTTGATACAAATTAAGTTGCACTTTTGCTTGCATTAGAAAATTAGATAACTTTTAATTATACGGCTTCAAAGTGACAATGGATGATTTAGAAGTGCGCAATAGGCCTGTACCGAGAGCAGATTTGCTTACACCAGAAAATTTTTATTCCTTTTTGTCAGGTAAATAGTCATTCTACAAATCTCATACAAGGGCGTTGTGAATTGCCAAACTCCATGTACGGAAGAAGGAATTGATGTTATTTTTGAAAAATTTGTCCCAAACCATTCACGGGGTTAATCGATGTTGTGTACTAGAATTTTGACTGTGGCAAATCCCACCAATTTCAAGCCACCACCTCTGTTCACGCCTGAATGAACTCAGGTTTAATTTGTCCCGTTTTTTTTCCTAGGTTTCAATGTCTGTATTGAAAAGATGACCCAGCCCCCAATGTGATTACCCCCAAACTTCTGATGACCCCCTGGCTTAACACGGAGTGCACTCCCACGATACATAAATGTTTAATAAAGAACTCGATTTTTAGTTTTTCTAATGTATTAGTTTAATTCCCTCAGTTGTGGTCCACGAAATGACTCAACCCCAAATGACGCTCCAATTTCGCGAATCATGTTTGAATAACCTAGGTTGCTGTTAGTGGCCCGGTTAAAAGGGGACAATTAAAACAAAAAATTACTTGGAACCATTCTTACGGGGTAATTTGTGATTCTAGGGCATAGTTGTTTACCAATCGAAAGTGCACAGCGAGGTGATTTGGTGTTTCAAAAAAAGTAGCTGACAACAAAAAATGCCGATTTACAATAGTTCGCCCCAATGAGGTCAGCTGAAAGCTGCCGACTTTTAATGACAGAGGGCTTTGAATAAGCTGGAACTACTAAAATTGGGCGTTTGTGAAGTTTTACTGCCAATCTGAAAGATTGTGACCCCAATTTAGTGCCTGTAAGGGAAATTCATTAAGCCTCATCATATATGACGATGGCTCTTAGCGGCAAATGTGCAATTTTGACCACAGTCTTGATGCAAACTACGTTGATTAGAAGTGAATGTGGGACGCTGGCCTTACAAGTTTAATGTGTATGTGATAACAGAAGGTACAAATTTTCAAAAAGTCGAAAAGTTAATTCCAACACGCCATGTTTAAACAATTAATAGCAAACTGCAGTAGGCAGTCTTTTTTTGCACGGACTAATTTTTTAAAAAATATCAAATGACATTTTTGCGGGCCATATGCATATACCAAGGGATTTTATGTAAAAATATGAATTACTACTAAAATGGGCCTTGGCGAGATAAAGTGGCTGCTTTCTTGAGGTTCCTTCTGTTCTTAACATCAATGACCTCAAAAGCATCAGGCTAGTTCTATGCTTTCAGTTTATTACTTGTGGGGTATAAAAATGTTTGTTCATTTTCAAAGGAAGTAAACAGTGTCAACGCTAACGAAAGGCTTCTAAACAACAGCCATATTATAGTGAATAATTATACTACTGAGATGCATCCAAGCAAAATTAGAAAACGCATCGCGCCTGAAATCAGAAGGCAAAATGACGTTAATTTATTACAACAGTGAGAGTTGTGATTGAAGCATACAGGACACCCAGCAAAATACATAAATAGTTTCCGGTCAGGAGTACAGCAAATAAAATTCTAGAATTTTATTTGCGCATGCAATATCTTACTATCGTGGAATTATATTGTTCAAGCGACATGCGGATTTGTAACAGCCAATCGGCGACTTTAAAAAATACCTCAACTGTGTACCTGTTGAAACTGCGGGAAACTTGGTACCTAATTTGCATGTTTTAGTTTTTACGAAGTACCTTTATGCTTAACCTGTTAGTTTACTGCAACACATGTGTACGATTACACAATCTCTAACTAGTGCAAGTTTTTCGTTTCTCGTACTAAAAGGACAATATAATCTCTGCAAAAGAGAAGCTGGAGTTATCTACACCTCAATGAAATTCTCCCACCATCCAAATTAAGTCAGCACATTTCACAACTACTGGATGCAATCACGCAGAGTTCTCCGCTTAAAAGATAAATTGACGTCAGAAAATCGAACCTTCGTATGGTTTCATCATGTCAGGAATTACAAACGAATTTTTTTGCAAACCAAACTGAAAGACTGCGGGATTTTGCAGATAGTGTATAAAATTTAACAGCAAGGAACAGACATATGTTGACGTAGTAAATTATTTATGCTTCACAGCCTATTTTTTCATCTCCTGTGGGTCCGTTGCTGTAGTACAGTTGAAAACAGTGCAATGT